ACTTCTCCCACACCATGCAGCTCTCTTTAACTTCAATAATTACTTGGAGGCTTCGGTAATTGATTATAATATTGACACGGACTCCTTAAAGCAATTAATGTTATTGTTAACTGAAAACCTTGATTAATTAATACATTTTCACTGATTATTTATTAGCTATTATCACATGAATAGAAATTTAGCACGTCGTCGAATAATATTAGTTAGACTTATTTACTAGGGGCTAATGTAATTCATTTGTATATTATTTCAACAAGTCCACGTCCATTATAAGTTGTGTATAACTTAACTTGAAGAACTCACCAATTATTCAAAGACAATGGAAGAAGAGGAAAAATTCTTTTACTCAAATCACAACTTCTTGACTTTGATTGGGACAGTCACGAAGATTTACCAGTGAAATCACATGATAGCTAACACACACAATTTATTCCACTGTACATTCCAGCAGCGTAGTTTAATCACTGACTAACTGTCGTAGCACACAGCCCCGACGGGTTGAATCCCACACAACAGGCAGTCGCTATACTGCGTGTTCTGATATCGCCTTATTCTCTGATTTTTTTTAATTTAAAAAAAAAAAAAAAGATACCTATTCTTTTTTTTTTGGAGGGTTGAAATTTCCCCCTCGGCATTTGGTTGGCTTTCGTCCAGGTCGAGACAGAGAGAAGAAGTAGAGGGGTCGGGGAGTGCGGGAAAGGGGAGGGGGTGGTGGGGGTGATAAAAACTAGGTCGTATGACACCCACACACACACGTGCCCATTTCACTTTTATGAAAAGTGGTCAAACCGGTTAAGCGATTAAATATAGGGTTACGGTACCCCGCACGGTTAATCTGACGTCAACTTAGCAGTCGAGTCGTGCGCTTATCTCTGCCCGCCCCCCCCCCCTCTCCCCTTTTTCTCCAGCCCACCGCAATGTGCATTAACATTTTTTTGTTAAACGCCTTTATAGGGTTACGGTACCCCGCACGGTTAATCTGACGTCCACTTAGCAGTCGAGTCGTGCGCTTATCTCTGCCCGCCCCCCCCCCTCTCCCCTTTTTCTCCAGCCCACCGCAATGTGCATTAACATTTTTTTGTTAAACGCCTTACTCCGACCTAATGTATGATGTCAGGCGGGCGCTGTTACTGATGATAAAAATTAGTTTGTTTTTTAAACCAAAGAATCACACCAAGTCTAACTTTTCCCCCATGAACCAAAATAAAAAAGGAAATAAAAAAAAAAAAAACTTACGGAATTGTTTTCCAAATTTACTGTTAGATTCCTACAAAGTGGTCCAGTGGTGTAAGAAGGGGTTGCAGAAGAGACAGTCCGCCCCTCTGGGCAGCTTTTTAAAAACAATATATAATATATTGATGTGCGGAATTTCTGGCCCGCTGCATAAATTTGTTTCGTGGTTAGGGAGCCAAAAAAGCTTTGCCCGTCCCCGGAAGAACTTATACTTAGCTACGCCGCTGAAGTGGTGCGTATCGCTTTAAAATACACGAACAGATAACCATCTCTAAGCTTCGAGACATTCTGGCTTTGGCCGGCGACAAACATTTTTCAAGGGAAGCTACCGGCCCAATATCTTAAGTTCCATTAGATACGTGAAGGTTATAGATTGTGTCCCCACAACGCAGGCGGGAACACAATGTGGATGGACTCTCAGTGGCGTAGCGAGGGTGTTTGGCGCCCGGGGACAAGATTCGCGCCCGGGGACAAGATCCATTTTTAGCGCCCCTTTTTCTTTTTTTGAACTCTCAAACCCATTATTTTCATCAATAAAATAATATCAAAGCACATTTTGGCGCCCTTAACTAGCTGGCGCCCGGGGACATCTGTCCCCCCCTGCCCCCACCACGCTACGCCTCTGTGGACTCTGCATAGATGTAGACGATGAAGTGAGATGAGGTTGCTTTTTAAATCATTTATATTCATTTGGCTTTTGTTCGTGTCTTTCTTTCTGTCTGGGTGTGTGGCAAAATCTTCGGACGGCTCATTGACCCACTTCCCGTCAACCTATCGAGCTGAAACCTCGGACATAGACTCGTTGCTGACGACAACACATTCTTTCAAATGTTCAGACCCAACACCCAACCTTAACCCCAATAAATCATTTCCCCCTCCTCTTTTTTTTTTATTTTTAGGGGAAGATCAAGGAAATATGAAGCAACTGATTTCATGAAATAAAATTCCCAATAACTGCGCTAAATGAGATTCTTTAAAAAAAATATATCGCAAGTGCGTTTGGTGCGTGACATTGTCTTTTGCTTTTCTGAAATAGTTGCTGAAATATATCTGCGGTCTCAAGCGGGTAGTTGATATTAATATTGTCAGGGGGCGTGAAAAAATGTGTGGTTGTGAGCCGGGGAGGGGGGGGGGGGGGGGGGAAGCACTAATTGAACTTCTTATAAACTGCATTATTTGAATGCATATTTTGTCAAATTTTCAGCCCCCCCCCCCCCCCTTGCCCGATATTACATTTTAAAAGGGATTCATACGAAAATCTTTATTTTTTAGCAGTTCTTGATATTGGTTATTACGTGAACTGTCTGCGTATTTAAATGGGACAAATAGATTTGTAGGTGTTGTTTATGTTGGTTATTATGTGTACTGTCTGCGTATTTAATGTGACGAATAGATTTTTAGGGGTTGTTCATGTTGGTTATTACGTGAACTGTCTGCGTATTTAATGTGACAAATAGATTTTTAGGGGTTGTTTATGTTGGTTATTACGTGAACTGTCTGCGTATTTAATGTGACAAATAGATTTTTAGGGGTTGTTTATGTTGGTTATTACGTGAACTGTCTGCGTATTTAAGGTGACAAATAGATTTTTAAGTGTTGTTTATGTTGGTTATTACGTGAACTGTCTGCGTATTTAATGTGACAAATATATTTTTAGGTGTTGTTTATGTTGGTTATTACGAGAACTGTCTGCGTAATTAATGTGACAAATAGATTTTTAAGTGTTGTTTATGTTGGTTATTACGTGAACTGTCTGCGTATTTAATGTGACAAATAGATTTTTAGGTGTTGTTTATGTTGGTTATTACGAGAACTATCTGCATTTTAAATGTGACAAATAGTTTTTAGGTTTTTTTTAATTATTAAAGGTAACCCATCAACTTTCCCGTCATTGTTTAAACACACACTGTCATCGCATGGTTTGGCACCAAGCCTAAGTCACACCCGTCTAAATGACGACGCGGTTGTTGAATATAACTCCCAAGGCTGATACTCATTTCGATAGGTCACGATTTAATGTACGTCAATGCAAAGGGGAGTTGTCCTTATTTTTATGTTAATAAATAATCGCAGTTAAGTAGATCACCCATTAATTTCACTCGCAATATATGGAGCTAAAGTCATTATAACCAGAACGTAGAACTGTTTTGATTTTTTTTCAATTCATAAAAATTGAAAGATGAACTGTAGTTTAGTTTTGATCTGCTGCTGAGTCAGTTAAAAATTGCAAATTTCGTTATTAAACCAAATTTCATAAGTCAGAGGCGCGGTACATCTTATCAAAGAAGAAACATGTGAAATAGCACTTCAGATGTCTAAATGTCAAAGGTCACTGGAAATCTATATGGCAAAAAAATCAATGTTAAAATTTACAGGTTCATCATTTAAATGATTTAATACGCTTAAAAAGAAATAGAGTGAGTAATCTCTTAATTTGTTTTAAAATGAATTCTGGAGATTGCTCATCAGTATGGAATGATGGCTAAACCATCATCCCATTGTCCCATCCAGGGTGAGTCTAGGTTAGTAGTTAGTGCCACCCATGGGCGCCCGCAGAAAACTTTCTAGGGGGGGGCAAAAAAATCGATTAACTGTCTAGGGGGGGGGGGGCAAAACAATTGTAGTAATGTTTTAATGTAGTTT